GCTGACCTTGGCGTGGGGTGGGGTCCTCCCCTTCCATTTCCCCTAAGCATCTTGGACACAAGGCTGTTGAGCAGAGCAGAGTCTTCCCAAAGACAGAGGGTAGCAAATGGCATCCTTCTACTACTCTCTGCAAGAACACACACTCCCCTGCACCAGCTCCGTGGTTCCCAGGCCAGTCTACCCCCCACCCCTGGCTGCCACATGGCCTCTCTTCCCTCTTCCCCTCGGCCCCTCCCCTTCCAGCCTCTTTTGCCGAAACCATGCTTCTCCTGGGTTTCCAGCTTCCCTCCACTGTCCTGCCCTCCCCTCCCCGGCCAGCCTTAAGCCTCAGCTTTTCACACCCAAATAGTCTATCAGGATGTTCTGCTGCATAGAAAACCAGACCTCTGCTTCTAGCTTTTAAAATAACATCATCCTTGACCGCTCTGTATTTATTGAGCACTGACTACGTGTCACAGGATCTATGGGAAGGGCTGGGGGCCACAGAGACAAAAGGGCAGGTGCCTTCTTGCCCATAACGATGGGGTTAGCCTGCTTCCGGGCTCCAGTCCTAGCCCCGAAGACCTGGCCTCGGCTCACTTTTCTCTGGTTACATCTGACCGACACACAGGGCACCACACAGGACACCCCAGTGGACTCGGGGCGCAGCCCCACCGCCCCTGCCCGGTGCATCGACACAAACGCGCACACTCACACACACGCACGCCTGCTCCATGCTAATTTTCGCCTCTGACGGCGGCCTCTAGGCTGTCATCACCACTCAGTGTTGACAAAGCAAAATAAAAAATAAGAAGAAAGAAATCCACCCTGTCACTTGGGGGTCCCCCCCCCCCCCCCCCCCCCCGCCGGGCTCGGCAGCCCCCACCCCGCCCCTGTCTTTGTATTATAGGTTTATGTCAAGGTATGTTGGATTCTAAATTAAATGTCAGCCCACTGTACATTTCTGGCTCCAGCCGCAGAAAATGAGGAGTTGGTGTTGGAGACCATCCAGTTGTTCAGCCGAACCGTGCCTAACCGTGAGGGGTGACAAGCCCATTGAATCACAGCACAGTAGCTTTCCATGCCACGGGAAGCCAAGATAAATTTATTTTTAATGATAAATGTGACTGTCAGAGTTAGGTTGAAACAGCTTTACGGCAAGAACCCAGGGCTCTCGGCGGTGCGGGGCAGAGGCTGCGCGGATGAGGGTCGGGGGTCCTGACCTCCTGGCCGGGCAGGGCCCCAGGGCCCACGAGCCAAGCACATTTGACATTCGGCCCACGTTCACGGAGCCGCTGCTGAGACATCACTGCATGTCTCAGGCCAGCTGTAGATGACGAAGAGCACAGAAGCCAGCGACAGAGACAGGGGTGGTAGTGTAGAGACCCGAGTTCCAATTCTGGCCCCATCCCTTGCTGGGTGATCTTGACCAAATGACTTGACCTTTCTGACCTTCAGTTGCCTCATCTATAAAATGGGGATGCAAAATGGTCACACCTGTAGGTTTTCAGTGAGGATGACGTGAAAGATGTATTGCTAATGAATGGTACTCAGCACGTGGAAAATGCTGAATGGCAGCTATTTGTTATACCATTTTATGTAACTTACCTGAGTCAGTTTTCCCATCCATAAAATGGGGATTATGGTAGCTCCCACTTAGGAGGGAGGATGCAGTGTGCTTAGCACAGAGCTGAGGGTAGGGGTGATGCTCAACAGATCGCAACCAGTCGGAAGGACCAGCACCCTGAATGTTGTCACCCGATGTCCCTGGCCACTTTCTTATCTCCTTCATTGGTTCTCTTCCTTTCCATCCCTCCAGTGCTGGCATGACTCACTGCCCTGTACCCACTCCCTGCTAAGGGAGATGCCCTGCATCAGGACCCCCATGGCCATGCCCTCCATCAGACTATGGTGGGCACCTGACCAAGGGCAGCTGTTATTGGCCTGCTGATGATCTACAATTGACGTCCTGGCTCCAGAGGATGAGCAGGACGGATCACAGTCTTTCTGGAATTTGAACTAAAAATCCCAGACAGGAGTTTTCTGTTGGTGGGGCCAACAGAATGTCTAGGCAGCTGTGGGCAGGAAAAGTAGGAACATGTGGAATCGGTGAGCCAGAGGGAGGAGGGTGAGTGGATGCACAGGGAGTGTGTGGGGGCACTGGGACAGCCTCAGGTCTATGCCATGCAACTGGGGTCCTGAGTTCCGGTGGTCCTGAGGTCCTGGCTGGTACCCAGATAGCCTTGATCCCACCCTGGCCAGTTGAACACACCTGGGCTCCTCTCTGGGGCTCTGCGGACACTAGCTTTGTCAAAGGGGAGGATTGGGGGCACTGTCCCCTCTGTGAGGTCAGCTTAGATTTTTCTTACACAGATCTCGGGGTCAATGAGCTGAGGGGGGCCCTCCCCTCTCCCTGAGACTATGCCCCAAGCGTGTCAAGTGAATACGGTGTGTAAAGCACTGAGCAAATGCCTGCAGGCTCATGCCAGAGCCGCACCAGGGCTGATTCTTCTCTTGGGGTGCCGAGGGGGTGACAGGTGAAGATCGTCCTTGACACAGGTACTCACTGCACCCCCTCAAGCGCAGGAAAGTGAGGGGTCTGCCCCTGAGCAGGTGAGACAACCTGCAGCAAGCAGTGCCGGGAGGAGCCGCTAGGTGGCCCCCGCTCACCTGTCCAACCGTCCTTAACGCAGGCCTGGGAGCAGATCCTCCAGCCAGCATCCTCCTGCTTGCACCTGCCCGCACAGCCCACGGTCACTCTCCATGCCCTGCCTTTGCCTGTAATGTCTTCTTCCCCAGCAAACAGACATCCTGCCTTCAAAGCCTGGCTCACACCCCTGCTTCTTCAGGATGCTCTCCCTGCCCACTCAGAGCACGTGCCCTGAACCTCTTCATCACCCTTAGCACCACCCTGCCCTCAGATTCTCAGTCCAGGGTTCTACCCCAGACTGATCTTTTGTCTGGACAGAGACACATCTGGAGTTTACATCCTCTCCCCAAATCGGAATCACAGACTTGCAGTCTCAGCCACGTGCCTGTAAACTTCACAATTCCCCGTCAAGAAGGGGGAGGTCCTGATTTCTTCAATGAGGACACTGAGGCTAGAGGGGACAGGAAATCTGCCCAAGGTCATAGCAGGAACGTTTGAAGTCTGCTCAGGTGCTTCAATGCACCCTCTTAGAACTTCACAAGAGCTCTTCCAAAGACGATGCTGTTAACCTGTTGGTACACATGGGGAAACTGAGGCCCAGAGAGGCGCAGTAGCTTGCCCCAGGCCCCACAGCCAGGGCTCTGTGCTTTCCACCACACCCCTCCACTCAAGCCAGATGCCCCCTCCCCAGGTCACCTGACAATCCCTTGAACCCACAGGAAAGGGGCCCCGGGGGGAAGGGTGCCATCAGGAAAGAGCCTGGACTCTGTGCAGGTCTCCTGCCTCCCAGCCAGTGCTGTGGGATCCCCTCCAGCAACCTAGGCAGCCTCCTTGTGGGGCGCAGAGTGGTGGGGCTGCAGGTGGGGCAGCCGGCAGCCCTGAAGGGAAGAGGAGACTGGGGACAACCAGCCAGCGTGTTGTGAACCCAGCTGCTGGGGGGGTGAGCGACAGTTGCTTAGATGGCACGGGGCATGGGGTCCCCCGGCTTTCCCCGCTCAGGGCGCGGCGACCGCGCAGCCTGGGCAGCCTGCATCGCCTGTGTGGGGCTTGGAGAGGGGCGGGAAGAGGGACGAAGATGGGGAGACAGACTGGCAGCCGGTGGAGAAGAGACGAAGACGGTGCCAGGGAACAGCGTGGCGGGCCAAGGCTCCCCGGGAGCCGGAAAACAGCTCTGGGGAGAAGCGGGGGGCGGGAAATGGGGGTGTCTATTCTGAAGCTGGGGGGAGCAGAAGGGATCTTAGAAAGGGGCGGGGGAGGGGCAGTCATCCCGGCTCCTGCGGCGGCCCGGAGAGGGGGCGGCCCGCCGAGAACGCGGCGTCGGGCCGTGTGGGCGCCTCCCGGTCAGAAGCCACAATAGCAGCTCGTTAACGCGCAGATTAAGGACTTTGTCAATTACCTCCGAAGGCTGCGCCCGGCGGATTAAATGCTTTTAAAAAGTGCTGCTGGTGGGAGGGGGCGACTAAGAAGCCCCCTCCCGGCACAGATCCCTCCTCCCCCGGGCAGAGGTGGGGGCGGGGACTGAGACGGTGCGGGCGCGCCTGGGGAACGCGGGCGGTCGGCCGCGAGCGCGGGCAGAGCGCGGAGCGGCTCGTACTCGGGACCGAGGCGCCGGCGGCTGTCGCGGCGGCGGGGATCCCCTTCGGCCCCGGGGCCGCCTGCGCAGGAAGGCGTCGGGCCTGCTGTTGGCCCGCGAGCGCCAGGATCCAGGGTCGCGGACTCTGGCCGGGGCACCCCCAGGGCCGGCCTCGCTGGTCGGGATCCGGAGGGGAAGGTCCCAGAGGCTCGTGACTCCAAGACTGGACACACTTGCCCCGGGGCCCGGACCGAGACCTCGGAGACCCACCGGGGGCGCACGCCGGCCGGCCCCCACCCCTTCCCCCTCCCCGGTCGAGGGAGCAGGAGGAGCTCGGCGCCGCTCCCGGTAGACGCCCGACGGCCCGGCAGGGGCCCCCCCTGGGCCCACCCGGCTCCGCGCCCCCCGCACACGGTGAGTTGGCACGGGTCCGGCCGGGGAGGAAGTTTGTGAGGAGGCGCCGTCCGGGTTTCCCTGGCCCCTCCTGGAGCCGGCAGGAGGCGGGCTGCCCGCGGCGGTTTGTCCCCCCCCCGCCCGCCCCGACTGGCCCAGGGGGCCTGGGGCGGGTTCTGCCCCTTTATCTGGGCCTTTTCGGAGGTGGAGAGGAACTATCGTTGGCCGCGGTGTGTGTATGTGTGTGAGAGAAAGAGAGAGAGGGAGGGAGGGAGCCCGGGGGGGTAGCAATAAAAGGCAAAGAGAGTCCGAGACAAAAAAGACACGGAGATTGAGAAGCAAGGAGGGAGGAGGGAGAGGAGCGCGCAGGGGGAGGCGCGGGAGCGGGGAGCGGGGACGGCGCGCAGCGCGAGCGGCGGGCGGGCTGGCGGGCTGGCTGCTCTCGCGTTCCCGCTCCCGCTCTCACCCGCGCACACCCGCGCAGCCCGTCCTCACCCGCGCACCCCCGGACACGCACGCCCGCTGGCCCGGGCCACCCGGCGCGGGGCACCGAGGCGGGGATCTGGCGGGCAGAACGCGCCCCGAGCCCGCGCCCACCCCGGCGTCTTTGCGCTCCGCAGCGGCGCGCCTCGCCGGGCGCCCCCGCCAGTCCTGCCGCCGGAAGATGGTCAACGACCGGTGGAAGACCATGGGCGGCGCTTCCCAACTTGAGGACCGGCCGCGTGACAAGCCGCAGGTACGCGCGGGCCCGGGGCGTGGGGACATGGGGCCCACGCGGTTGGCGAGGTGGTGGCCGCTGCGGCCGGCGGGGTGGGCGCCCAGCTCGAGGCTGGAGTTTGGGGTGCACCCCGCGAGGCTCGGGACGCCTGGGGCGAGGCGACGCCCTCCTCTCCTCCTCCTCCAGAAGAGGCTTGAACTTGGGGTTCGGGGTGCGGATGAGGGCAGCACCCCTGCATAGCGCTGTGGCAGATGGCCCTCTTGCGCCTCCAACAGCCTCGCGGTGCCCACGTGAGCAGAGAGGGAGTAGGGGACCTCTAGTTCACAGGGTGACCAGCCCTTCAGTAAACTGTGTGGCCACGCTAATCACACCCCTCGCTGAGTGTCTGTCTCCTCACCTCTACAGTGGGCATTTTAATCACTTGCTAATTATCCACCCTGGGCACCACCGTGTGCCAGGCGCCTGGCATGGTAACCTGAGCTTCTGGACCAGGGTGTGGATCCCCCTGGATCTCCTCTAAATCCTCACACTTTAAACGGGGCCCCTGCTCTACACTAAAGGATCAATAAATGTTTGTCTCATGTGAGAAGCTTGGGTATCATGATTCTCCAGCTTTAAGACAAGAAAAGCAGGTCTCAGAGAGGGTTGCTCCTGCCGGAGGCCATGAGGCTCTGCTGAGATTTGAACCTGGGTCCGTGGTGCCAGGTCCTGTTCATTGCACTCTTCCTGCTGCCTCTTCTGGGGCAGTGGAGGGGGCAGGCTTGGAGGGTGCCCAGGGCTGTGCACTGGGAGGAGGGGCAGTGAGGGCAGAGCTCCAGGGCTGGCCAGAGAGGGGGCTGGAGATGCGAAGCTGAGTGGAGGGACAGCCCTGGGGCTGCCCCAGGCCGGGCTGCCAAGGGACCGGGGCAGGCAGGTAGGATGGAGAGGCCCGCTCACCAAGGAGAGGAAATAATGGGGCTGCCTGTTGTAAATTTCAGATTTCTCCCAGACAGATGTCATTGGGGAAAGAGCCGTTTGTGTTTGCAGTGGCAGGAGGGGGGCGGCAGGGACGAGCCTTGTCGGCCCCTCACTCTCCAGGGCTCCAACCTGCTCCTTCTGTCTGGAGGGACAGTGCCGTGGTGTGGGGGCCCAGCCCTCCACAGTTTGCAAAGCTCCTTCCCAACCACCTGCACAACCTCACTTCCTGCGGCAGCCTGGGGGCTAGGCAGGGAGGCACATTCCCATGTCACAGGCTAACGTGGCTCAGAGAGGTTGAGGCATGCGCTCGGGTCACACAGCGTGTTAGCAGGAGAGCAAGGATTCGAACCCAGGTCTGAGCCCAGCGGCTCCCGATGCCTCCCAGGTGCTCTGTTCCTTTGTTTCCGTCAGGTCGACAGCCAAGCCAATCCCAGATTAAAAAAACCAAAAAACCTCTCCTGCTGGGATCTGACTTTTTACCCTTTTACCTAGATTTGTTCAAGGCTATCCCCAGCCTGACCCATTCTCCTTTCCCACTAGTCCCCTTACTGGGACTGGCTGCTTGTCATTTGCCAAACCCCAGTCCCACACTAGGCTGCCCGTTTCCAGACCTTTGCAGTGTCATCTTGTGTCTCCAACACACACACACACACACACACACACACACACACACACACACACACACACACACCCTTTTGCTTTTGCTCAGGGAAATCCTACATGTACTTCAAAACCTATCAGATGCCACCTCCTCCAGGAAGCCTCCCCTGATGTTCTGTGGCTGTGCCTCAAAGTCCCGGTAGCATTTAGCCTGTTCTCCTCAGCTGCCTTTTTCTCACTGCCTTCTCTCCCTGCCCCAGGGCTCTCCTCTATCAGGAGCTCCCTTTGGACACATGCTTCTTCTGGGCCCCCATCTCTAGTTCTTCCTCTGGGCCCAGGCTCCTGCCCTTCCATGCAGTCAGGGTGGGTGCTTAGGGACATTTGCTGAATTGAACTGCATGAAGCCTCAGCCAGGCGCTGGGGGTGAGGAGCCAGCAAGTGCCGCTATGTCTCAAGGGGAGATGGCTTCTGGGGGATCTGTTTGAGCTGTGGCTTCAGGGCCTCCCTCTGCGGCTGCCTGGGTCACATAGTCCAGCTGCCACCAGCCAGAGCCCAGCTGTCATCTGCCCCCTTGGCATCAGAGGCAGCTGAGGGCTTGTGGCCCCAGGGGCCCGGGGCCAATATCAAACACCACCTCCCCTTCCCACTCCTTTGGTGACCTTGCATGTAGATAGGCTGTCCCCTGCGCCAGTCCCAGGCTCGTTGGGAGCATCAGAGAAGAGGCAGGGCCTTTCCTGAGCTTACTGTCGAAAGAGAGAGCCTTGGGCGCCTGGGTGGCTCAGTCGGTTAAGCGTCTGCCTTCGGCTCAGGTCATGATCCTGGAGTCCCGAGATCGAGTCCCGCATCTGGCTCCCTGCTCAGCGGGGAGTCTGCTTCTCCCTCTGACCCTTCCCCCCTCTCATGTGCTCTCTCTCTCTCTCATTCTCTCTCTCTTTCAAATAAATAAATAAATCTTAAAAAAAAAAAAGAAAAAAGAAAGAGAGAGCCTTGCTGTCCTGGGTCCCTCTCGACTTCCTCCCTCAGGTCTGGCCTTTTCTCCTCCCATGTTCCTAGTTTTGTCTCTGCCATTGACATGCTGTGTGACTCTGGGGAAGTTACTCCCCCTTTCTGGGTCTGGGCTTTACCACCTGCAAGATGAGACCAGCGATTCCTGCTTCCTCCTCACTTCACAAGGGCTCCTCGGAGGGTCAGGTGAAATCCTGGTGTGTTTTGCAAACTGCAAAGCACTGTCCACCTGTGAGGATGGTGGTTCTCACTGTAGCCTGTTCCCTTTTGCAGGCTGTCAGTGTCCTGATCTTCTCTGCCCGCCAGGGAGAATGAGCTGACCACCCAGCTCCCGCCAGAAGGGCCTGGCTGAGGTTCTTTAGTGGAGCACCTCCTCCGGGAGAATAGAAGCCCTTGCTACACTCAGAGCAGTAGCCGGGCTCATCTCTCCACACCTCTGGCTTCTTAGCCACAACCACACTGGGAGGTTGGCAGCAGGGACGACCAACCCATTTGACAGATGAGGAAACTGAGGGTAAGGGAGCCAGAGCCGGGACCTGAACCCCGGTCTTCGTCGGCAGGCAGATGAAGCAGGAGCGGTTGGCTGTCCTTCCCTCGGTCAGTCTGCTCAGCTGCATGATGTAATTCCCAGGGGGAGAGCCCCGGCGTGCAGGCTGTGTGGTCCCCGAGGCGCTCACGGCCCCCCGCTGCCACGACGTGTTTCCGGGGACGGCCTGAGGCCACTCTGCCCTCGGGGCCCCGTCCCGCCTCAGCTCCTCATCTGCTGGCTGACCTTGGACGAGTTCCTGCCTTCATTAGAGTGTCCCTTCTCCCCCTGCAGAACGAAGGGGCCTCACACCCTTGGGGCAGGAGGTGGTGGTGGGATATTTGCCAGAGTTTGGAGTCACTCAGATGAAAGGATCTAGAAATAGACACGATTCTCCTCTCCTGGAGTGTGGGGCAGGAAGTCACCCTGTAACCGGCTCCTCCTGGGCGGGGGCTCGCTTCTGAGCAATCCTCGAGTCACGCCACCCTACAGGGAGGTCAGCCTTGGCAATCCCGGGTGGCATCTTTTGGTCCTTTCAAAACTTCTAAAAATGTCGCAGAAGGAAAACCAAATCCTCATTGGGAAGTTCTTCCTGATGTCTAACCTAAACCCCGCTGCATTGCATTCGCTCAGTGACTGTTTTTAGAGTCCCTACCTCAGCTGGGATGTACAGCTGGGAACCCGTACCTCAGGAAGTTTCGAGTCTCATGAGGGGGACAAAGAAACCCACGAGTCGGGTGTTATTACAAGGCACTGTAAAGAAAAGCGTCTGTCCTCTTGCACCCTAGGGTTTGGGTGGAGGTCACTGGGTTAAGCGGGGGCTGGGAGAGAAGGAGGGAAGCGGGGGCCCACAGGAACGACAAGCCAAGGACGCCCTTCTGTCACTTCTCCGTGCCCTCCTCCGGGCCTGGCCCTGCCCCACGGAGCTCACCATCCAGTCCAGCCGGGTGGCTGTGATGGAAGGCAGGGTGGGAGCGCAGAGGAGACGGCTTCCCGGAGGAGGCAGTGTTTAAGCTGGACAGCATTTACCTGATCTGTCCTGCAGGGAGACCAAGGTGTGTTGGGAGACAGGAAAGGAGCCAGGCAGGTGGAAAGAACAGGGCAGGGCTCAGGGTGGAGCCTGCAGGTGCCCTAAGCTGAGGGGCCCAGTGGGACCTGCTCTGGAGGGCAGGAGGCCTCCGTAGCTCTAGAGGGGTCTCAGCGGGACCTTCGGGAGGGGTCCTTTGCTGCTGCGTGGGGAACGAGTTGGTGGGGCTGGGAGGTGTCCAGGAGGCCGGGGGGAGATTGTCACAGTGATTTAGAGGCAGGCGAGGGGGCTTGGACAGAGCCCATAGAACAAGCTAGTAGGCCCTCTTCCCAAGTCTTTGGGATGCCAGGATTTTGAGCCCCTCACTTAGGGGCTCTCTGGGATCCCCACCCCCAGTCCTGCCAGAGCCAGGGCCTCTGAGTTGGCCAGGTAGGAGCCGTTTGCCAGCGGTGGGGGAAGATGTGGGCTCCTGGGGGGAGGAGGTGAGGAGGAAGGATGCCCCCGGGGGCTCTGCGCCACCCCCCCCCCGCAGCCCTGTGCCTGAGAGCTCCTCCCTGCCGGGCACCCCCGCCCGCACACCGCCCAGCCCCGGTTTTCCCAATCCACAGCTCCACTACGCGGTTCCGTCATGATGAACGGCCACCCTGCCTCCAGCTGGGGTGCTCCTAGGAGATGGGGGGCTCGGAGCCGCTTGCATTCAGATCTAGCGTCCCCCTAGAGGGACACTTTCTTCTTCCGACTTTGATGCAAGGAGTAGAGTCTGGGTCCACCCCGAGGCTACCGCCCCCTGGCTCTCCAGCAGACAAGGAAGGAGATGGGGCGGGCCGGGCGTTTTTGGCTAGCAGGCCATCGATGCGATGTGTCCCTCCCTCCTGAGCACTCTTGTCCCCCGCCGGACCCCATGACCACCTCTGAGGCTGGGGACACAGAGGAGGCAGCCAGGAAAGATGCCACCCCTCCACTAAGGGCACTAAGGCACCTTTGCAGCTTCCTGTCTCCTGCCTCCCCTTGGCACGAGCCCATCTCCTCCTCCCCTTGGCTGGGACAGCACTGGGGAGGGGGTCACACAGGGGATGAAGCCACGTCCCTCCAGCTGGGGGCTCACACACACAGTTAGGGACAGACTGGACCTCGAACCCAGGGCTCCTGGCTCCTCTCATGCCCACTGCCCGGGATAGCTTCCCAGTGTCCCCCACCCCTTGCCCCGTGTGCCTTCGCGGCTTCCTGCAGACCCCCAGGTGCTCGCCTGGCTCTGCCAGGGCCGAGGGCTCGTCAACAAGCCCCAGCCCCGCGGCATGCTCCATTGGCTGCCCACCGCCCAGAACACCCCCTTATTATCTCGGGCAGATTCCTCTGCGATACACGTAAACAGCAGCCTATAAAAGCGAACAGTACTTCTTGTTTAAGGTGATCTCAGAAGACCAATTCTCCTCTGCTGAGTGGCCTGTTTCAGCTCCAACTCCATCATCCCCCTGCCCCTCTGGGGATCCCCTGCGGCTTTCTCAAGGCTCTCCCTCCCCAGCACCCTCTGCCTTCCCTCCAGGGACCAGGGGCTTGGGTGGAAGCAGGTGCACGAGAGGGCGAGGGTCTTGGAGACACAGGGAGACGTGGCTGGCCGCTCTGCCTAGCCAGTTGGGGGACCTTAATGTTCTTCGGTTGGAGGACGGCGCTCAGAGCTGCTTGGGGCAAGGTGTCTCCCGATGGGCTCGGGGAGGGGCCTGACAGGGACTTACTTGCTGACACAGAGCTTTGTCTCGCAAACCCCAGTCACACACAAGACAGAGGGAAGAAGGTTGTGGGAAGCAAGCAGTCTTTTTTTTTTTTTTTTTTTTCACATGTATTGCAAGCAGTCTTGACAGAGGGTGTGATTCCGGCCACCGGCCCTGGGATCGAATGCTAGCCCTCCCATGTACCTCCCGTGTGACCTCGGGAAGGGGTCTTCTGCTCTCTGAGCTTCAGTTTTCCCGCCCGCCAAGTGAATCCAACCAGAGCAGGGGGTCATTCGGAGGTTTCAGGGGTGGGAACAGGGCACGTGTTCAAGGAATGGCAGCGATAATCTGGAAGCTTCTGATCTGCAGGTGACTGGGGGCTTGGGGCAGCCTGGAGGTGGCCTTCATTCCGTGCGAGGCCATCAGGGGTGGCACGGGGTTAGAGGTGGCCTTGCCTCGGGGTCCAGGGCTCAGCGTGGAGGTCATGAGCCTCTGCCCTGCCACGCACAGTAGGGTGGCGGGGCCTTGACCTCCTCCCCATGCGAGCACGGTCACCGGGAAATGACCTGGTCCATCCGCTCTTCCTCCCATCCATCCCACAAGCAGCTGTTCCGTGCCAGGCGAGCAGGCCCTGCCCTTGGGGGCTCCCGTGGTCCAGGGTAATTCACCTGGGCCCGGGGCTTGCCAGCCTAGCCTTCCTTGGGTGCACAGAATTCAGAGATTCCCAAACCGATCCATGCCCCACATAGGCTAAGAATCACAGTCCATGGGACATGAGCTCCCCCAGGGCAGGGCTAGGACAACGGCCACCCCCATCCTCAGGGACTGGTTTGGAGCCTGGCTCATGGGGACACCCAGTGAACGTTGAATGGATGTTTGAGCGAGTACATGAATGAAGTCAAAGGTGATGACTGTCTGTCTTGATGAATGCCACCATGGGGGAGGGGAGCAAGGGCCATGGGAACATGGAGGAGGAGGCTTTCCAAAACTAGGTTGGGGCTGGGAGGGCTGGGGAAACAGTCTAGGAAGGCTTCCTGGAGGAGGTGACATCTAGCTGGCCTCTGAAGGAAGAGAGGGAATTAGGAAGCAGAGCAGGGGCGGCAGATGCCTCAGGCTAAGGGAGCAGCCTATGCAGAGCTGCTGTGAGGGAGCTAATGTGCCCAGGTCTGGCAGGAGTAAGCTGTCTAGACGCGTGGAGCCTGGGATGGATGGGCCGCCTGGGGAAGGTATGGAGAGAGGAGGGGCAGAGCGCTGAGTCCTGGGGGCATCATCAGTGCAGGGGCGGGCTAAGGAATTCTCTCCCTCATCTCGCCAACAACATGGCACCCTCCTGGGCGGGGGGTCTTCTTGTCCACCTGCACCTCAGCCCCGACCCCATCTTCCTCTGGTCCCAAGTAGGAGATTTGGGACTTACTTGTAGAATCTGAATTTAAGCAAAACAAGCTGTTCGCTCTTTTGTACTTTCCCCGTAGTGAGACGCCTTGTGTAAGAGGATTCGCTATTTTATGTAACACCGAGAAAGAAAGGGTCAATCACTGCTGTAGGATTCCCCACCATCGGAGACGTTAAAATGTGGAAAAATGAAAAGGTGCATCCCCGCATCGGTGACATACAGGAGTAACACTTTGGGTGGAAAACAAAGAACCAAACACTTCCCGATGCTCTGTGCACATTGATCACGGGGTAGTAAGAGCCGCTAACGTTTACTGCACACGCACAATGCGCCGGGCACGGCTCCGAGCGCGTTCTATACTGACTCCCTTCAAGATGCGTCTCCAGTTCCCAAAGTGGGAAATGTGGGGGAAAGCCAGCCGGAGAAGGGCCCCGAGAGGAGGCGGGAGGCTGGAGGGTCGAGTCTGAGCTCGCTTCTCATCGGCTGTGCGACTCTGGGCAAGCCCTTGGCTCTCCTGGGCCTCATGTCCCCCACGTGTCACACGCTCCGTGGCCGCTCTGCGGGCTCCCTCGGGGCTGTGAGTGATCGGGGTACAGCAAGCCCGATCACGGCGCCTCCTTTTTTTTTTTTTTTCAAGTTCTGAAAAGGCTTTATTACGTAGAGGGGAAGGGGTTCAGTCCTTCTTGGCTGCGGCTTTCCTCATGGAGGCCAGGACGTTGCTCGGCTCCTCTCTCTTCCTCTTGGCGCGGATGTGTGTCCCCACCCTTTTCTTGATGAACTTGAGGGCGCGCTTGTCCTTGGAGACCTTGAGCAGCTCCATGGCCCGCCGCTCGTAGGGGGCGAAGCCGCACACCGCTCGGATCATGTCCCGTACGAACTTGGTGTGCTTGGTGAGGCGCCCGCGGCGGCGGCTGTGCCTCGGCTTGCTCACGTTCTCAGTCACCTTGTGGCCCTTGTTAAGGCCCACGGCCATAGGGTAGCGCAGAGCCATGGCGGCTGCTCCTCAATGGCTCCCGCGGCGGAAGGCTCACGGCGCCTCCTTTAACGACAAGCTGCCCCCTGGGTTCCAGCTGGTAGCACCCCCCCCACCGAACCCAGTTTTTACCTCCCCGCCTTTTCTTGCCCTGGGGGGCACGGCTACCCGGCGGCCCCAGCCCTCGCCTCCTTCAAGGGAGGGAGGCGCCTTTCTCCAGGGTGCCCGGCGGGGCTCTGCCCGTTAGCTTGCTCTGCGGAGAGGGGAGGAGGTGCTCGGCGGCCACCCTGCGCCCTGGGGACTCGTGCATGGCAGCCTCGCGGGCCTGCCCAGGCTTCGGGACTTGGGCTTTGGGGGCTCCAGGGGGAAAGTGACCCTTAGTGACGGGTGCTCATTCCGCTGTGACAGTGTGACAATTCTTAGCGTGGTTGCTGTCACCGTTACAGCTTTCTCTTCCTGAGTCTGCACGGCAGGCACCCACGTGCGGGGCAGGGCGCGTCATTATTGCCTCCATTTTACAGGTGAGGACCCCGAGGCTCAGCGAGGTGAGGTCCCTCACCCAAGATCCCCCCCCACCCCCTGGAAATGGCAGCGCAGGGGCCTGAGGCTGTGGGAGCCTTCACCTGCAACCCTGACCCACCCAGGAGGGCTGCATGGGGGAGGTGTGCCTGCCCCGTGCAGGCCACAAGGAGCAGGGCAGGGGCAGTGAGGGGAGGGTGCCTCTCTGCCTCAGTTTCTCCCCTCATCCTCTCCATCTCCAGCTGCGTGCATCTCTCACTCACTCTCACTTGCTGTATCTTTGGTCCCGGGCTTTCTGTCTCCCCTCTGGGCCTCTATCTGTCACCTCTGCCTCTCTGTATGACTCCCTTGCCCCTGTCCCCAAGAAGGGGGCCCTCTGAGTCTTGCCCACCCCTCACAAAGGCCAGAGGCCCCGTCCTGAGGCTGCCTGGGCGCCCCTCCCCAGAGAGCTGGAAGCCCAGGTCCGCCCCTGATGCCGCCCCTTCTCTCTCCCGCCCGCCCGCCCGTCCGTCTGTCCGTCTCTGTGTCTGTGTGCGCCCGCAGTGGCCCAGCTGCGGCTACGTGCTGTGCGCGGTGCTGCTCTCCCTGGCGGTCCTGCTGGCCGTGGCTGTCACCGGCGCTGTGCTCTTCCTGAACCACGCCCACGTGCCAGGCACGGCGCCCCCGCCCGTCGTCAGCACCAGCACCGGGCCGGCGGGTGCCAACAGCGCCCTGGTCACCGTGGAGAGGGCCGACAGCTCGCGCCTCAGCATTCTCATTGACCCGCGCTGCCCCGACCTCGCCGACGGCTTCGCCCGCCTGGAGGGCGCCCAGGCCTCCATGCTGCAGGTGCTGGCCGAGCACCAGGCCCAGCCGAGGCCTGCAGGCGAGCAGGAGCTGTTGGACACCCTGGCGGACCAGCTGCCCCGGCTGCTGGCCCGGGCCTCGGAGCTGCAGGCGGAGTGCGCCGGGCTGCGGAAGGGCCTCGGCGCGCTGGGCCAGGGGCTCAGCGCCCTGCAGAGCGAGCAGGGCCGCCTCATCCAGGTATGGGGCTGGGTCTGCATCTGGGGTCTTGGTGGGGGGTGGGGTTGCTGCCTGGGCGCCTGATGTCCATGGCTCCCCTTAATCCCCAAGGGCCCCAGGACCAGGGGATGTTGTTATTGCCATCTACCGTGGAGCAAGTGAGCCTCAGAGAAGCAAGTCTCCCATCCGAGGCCACACAGCTAGAGGCACCATTTCCTACCCACTGTCCTGGGGACCCTGGGGACCCTGGGTATTCGTGGAGCACCCCGTGGCATCCCACAGTCAGGTCAAGTCCAGGGCTCAAGGGGCTTCCCAGGTGCGTCAGTACAGGTGAGGCAGGACCTGACTTCCATCAGTAGTGATTTGAGGTTCAAGGTCACGTGGCGGGTCAGTAGCAGGCCCTCTCCCCAGCTCTCTCTCCCCCATTCTCTACCATTCGATGCTCCCAGCTTTCCAGGGAAGGAGGGACCAGCTGAGAGAGCCCATCCAGACCCTTAGCCTCTCCCTACCACCTCTGCCCCATCTCCCCCGATCCCCTCCCCTCCCCTAAGCCAAGGCAGGTCCCAGCAAGCACCTGTAGATCTGAGGGAAGAGTTTCCAACGTTGACCACTCCTGGAGCAGCGGCAAGAACTCCTCACCCCCCTCCCCCTGCCCCACATAGGATCAGGGATTTAGGGTCATCTCGTTGGTTTTCCACTATTTTCCGGAAGAGAAAACTGAGGCCCAGAAAGAGACAATGATTTGTTCAGGGTACAGTGGCCTCTGGCCTCTGGCCTCCCAGCGCCCTGCCCACCCTCTGGCTTTGTACCCCATCACCCCGATGACTCAGGTCCTTAGGGACTAGGAGGTGAGCCCCACCCTGCCATTGGTCCCAGCCCCTTCCAGACACTGGGGATGACCAGGCAGTCGGTCACCCAAGCAGCTCACGAGCAGTGGGTCTTTTCCCTCCTCTGAAGGCTGCAGCTGGAGAAATTATAGTCCCCGTCATCGTGTCTGGGTGACTGGTGGGAAGGCTCTTCCCCTCCCGGGGTGGGGTGTTCAGCTGCCCTCTCCATCAGCAGGGCTTGGGGAGACCTCCAGATTTTCTGGGTGACCTGGACCCCCCACTTTACTCTCCACATGGTTCAGCCAGGCCCTTAGGGCAGGGGTGGGGAATCGCAGGGGGAGGCCTCAGGGTCTCCCACCCACCCACCTACACAGAGGCCTAGAGCTGTTCCTATAAGACTAATAACTTTTGGGGGACCTGGTAGTGCCTTGGCTCACCTGATATATTTACTTCTCAAAAGAACGTTTAATTTGACTCATTTCCCACAGACTAAGGGTGATTTCAGAGACCATGTGTCTTGCAGAGCTATGGAACTGCGGCTCCTGGCTCCAAGCTTCCCACACCCCCAGGTGATCAGTGCAGACCTGGGTTTCCTAAAGCACTGCCCACAGACACCCTCTGTCAGAAGTGCCAGAGCTGCTTGCTAAAAGGCACCTCTCTGAACCTCATCGCAAACCCCCGGGGCCCCGCAGGTAAAAAGGCATCGGGGCGGCCCTTGTGGGCGCGGACATCTATGGCCCATGGCCCGGGAGCTGCAGAGCTGAGCGGTTCTGCCTTCAGGGTTTGGGCCAGCAGTGCCGGGATCCAGTCCAGGCTCCACGAAGGAGCAGCAGTTGCCCTCCCTGGGCTCAGTCTCCTCACCTGCAAAATGGGGATAGTGTAGTCCATACCCAGGAGGATGGGGGAGCTCCTGGCCAGGCTGGGCTCAGCTGGCATCCGGCACAGAGAGATGAGCCTTTCTTTTATTATTATGGAAATAAAATGGTTTGTAAACTAAAGTTGCAGCCAGTGGGGAGCCACCACTGAAAATCCCTTTGCCTCTTGCGGGAGTAATGATAGGAACCACTGGGTGCTTGGGTAATCGGCACTTCATAGCACAGTGGCCCCAGGAGGTGGAGCTCATCACCCCATTCTCCGGATGGGGCAGACGGAGGCTTGGAGTGGCAGAGTGCCCTGTGGACGCTCGGTCACATGACCAAAAAGTGCCAGGAGCAACTTTGACTTCGCTACCTCTAAAAGCTGCCAGGTCCTCTTTAATGCATGTGTGCAGCTCTGCGAGCAGGGACTGACTTTCCCTATTAATTCGGAGCATGTTTATATGTACATTTTCAACTTTAATCATTTGCTGGTTTAAACGGAGGTCTTCCCTGCCTGCCAGCAACAGCGGGCTGTGCCTGGGTTCCTCGAGTGTGTCTGCTCGTTGCAGAAGGATGGGCAGGACCCTGGAGACTTAGCCAACAAGCCTGGTGATCTCTGCTGCCCACACCCTGCAGGTGCCCCCTGCCCCCTGCCCCCCCTCCGGGGGCTGCCTGTGTCCCTGTGGTCCACGGGGCTCCCCCAACAGGGACTGTCTATAGGACACTGCTGTGAAAGCCCAGGGAGGGGTCAGCCGCCTTGCCCCAGCGTTCCCCTGCCCACCTCGGCGCCCTTCCCTCCGGGCCTCAGCCCTTCCTGCGGAGGAGAAGCTGACGGGGAAACTAAAAAGCTTTTGAGGGGCCCTTGCTTCTGGACAAACCAAGAATCGTACTTTGTAAACTGCTGGCTCTGTATATTTCTATTTTCCTTCCTCGAACAAGCTATTATTTGGCAAGTGACAGGTTCAGCGTGTAAAGACCCAGCAGGGCACATGTGCATGGGCTGGCTGGCTGGCTGGCTGGCTGGCGTCAGCCCGTGACCCTGCCTCCCCTCCCTGTGGTCCTGCAGCCCTCCCAGAGCCCAGGGCGGGGGAGGTGACAGCCCCCAGACCCTTCAGGCAGCAAGCACGGCCCAGAGGTCCCCGGGGGTTGCGGGGAGGGGGGAGGCGGTCAGCTGACCCAGCTTACAAACCTCCAGACCTGGATCTCAGGAAGGGTGGCTGAGCGGTGGGAATGACACAGGGAACGTGCGCTGAGCCTTCAGGCCCCAAACACCTGCTCTGGTTGAACCACCCCCAACACCCACCCCAGAAAGACAGGTGCCATCACTCTGGTCCACAAAAGGGAGTTTGGTTACTCTTCCAGGGTCACTTGCCCAGTGAATGGAGGAGGGGTTGAGTCAAAACCCAGAACTGACACCAGAGCCTGGGGCCAGACCACCACCCCCCACTTGTCCTGCCCCTACCCTGCACAATGACACAGCCCTAGGTTCCTTTCCTGCCAATCAACCCTGGGAAAGCAGCCCGAGGTCGGTCTCCATCAGGGACCTCTCCTTCTGGGCCTCGGTTTCCCCATCTGTACCGAGGAGACAGCAAGCCAAGCCCTCCCCACTGGCCATGCTGTGGGGGTGAGGTGAGGCGGTGGACCTTGGAGCCATGGCTCGTGAATGTGGAGTTGGGGGCTGGGTGGGGTGGGAGGAGTATCCCAGGGCCCCCTGTTTGCACACAGAACCATCACCCCTGCCTCCGCGGCCTTCCTGGGCATCAGGAGAGACTTTGGGTGAGGGTGTCTTGTAATTTGCAAGGTGCCTTATGAATTTTCGTAACAAGGAAGGCCAAGTCCCCTGTGCCCTGCTGGGGCCCCACCCTGTGCGGAGTCCCTCCCACATGTCACCGGTCCCCATGGCAGTTGCAACAGGGAGGCTCTGGCAGCCCGACTTCGAGGCTTGGTTACGTCACTCACCCCCCGACGTGTACCTGGTAAATGGGTGAGTTGGGATTTGAACCCAGCTTTGCCTGGTGCCCGGTGCCTCCTCCCCCTGCACGGCAGAGCTTTCTTCAGTCGCCTCACCTGGGCTGAGGCACAGAGATGGAGGAGGACGGGGCCTGGGGTGCAGCAGGGCACAGGTCTCTGCTGAAGCCTCTGTCTCCCCTCCCACCCGAGCCCCCATCCTCTGAACACACAGACACTGAGCTCCTGTGGGGCCTGAGCAGGGCAGGAGGGGATGGCCCATGCTGGCAGGTGCTGGCTGGCCGGAGCCCCTGCCCCTTCCACTCACCCCTTCCACTTACCCCTTTGCCCCATAGCTTCTCTCCGAGAGTCAAGGCCACATGGCTCACCTGGTGAACTCGGTCAGTGATGTCCTGGATGCCCTGCAGAGGGACCGGGGGGTTGGCCGGCCCCGTGTCAAAGCTGACCTCCAGAGGGCACCTGCCAGGGGACTGCGTCCCCGTGGCTGCGCCAGTGGTGAGTGGGGGGGGGCTGCCTTTCTTGGGTGACCTGGGTGCCCAGTTCTGTACCCCCATGGCCCCTCGCCCACCCCTCTGATGAGGACACACAGCTGCTGTTTGCTGAGGACTTCCTGCTGCCAGGCAGCTCTGAGCACCCTACCTGCACCCTTCTGTTGAGCCCTCTCCCGGCCTATTGTGCCCATTTTCCAGGTGAGGAAAGCAAGGCTCAGAGAGGGTGCACGCTCACCCGGGTTCTACCACCAAGGCTGGTGCCTTGGAGCCCTTGGGACACTGCAGGGTAGACTGACAAGCCAGGGAGAGCCAGGGACAGAGGGTGGTGGTGGGGGGGGCACAGATACCAGGCGCAGCCCTGATAGCATGCCCCGTCCCAGGCTCTCCACCACGCGACTGTCTGGACGTGCTCCTGAGCGGACAGCAGGAGGATGGCGTTTACTCGGTCTTCCCCACACACTACCCTGCCGGCTTCCAGGTCTACTGTGACATGCGCACAGACGGCGGCGGCTGGACGGTGAGTCTCCAGGGCGGCACAGCCAGCTTCCTCTGGGCCCTGCAGACGCCCAGGCAGGCCGGGCTGACCCAGGGGGCAGTGCACTCGACCCTGGGGGCTCTGAGCAGCCTCTCACCCAGCCTTCTGTCCCTGGCCAGGCCTGCCGCCGGCCCCCACAAACCTGCCCCTCATCTCACCCAAGAACTCCACACCCCCCAGAAATTGGCACAGGGCAAGCGGAGGCCGTGGGCTGACCCCGGGGCCCCCGTGGGAGCAGATGTTAGACCCCGTCTCCTGCCTGTGGAGCCACCTCCTGCTCCCCGACCCTCGAGCCTCTGGGAACTGAGAGCGCCAGGCAAGTCGGGGATGGGTTCTGGGATGGAACGCGGCACCAGGAAGCTTTTGCTGTTGTGAGCTCAAGGGCCAGCGAGTGTAGATCTGTCTCTCAAGTTCTCCAATATATGGCATGTGTGATCAAAGGGGAAAAGGGCGGGGGAAGGCGCCTGCAGGGAGCAGAGACCCCCGTGGCTTCCCAGCGAGGAGCTGCTGTGACTTCCTGCCTGGGTGGGAAGTAGGGGTGACGAAATGTCCCCACAGCCAATGGAGGGCTGGGTGGGGTGACCACAGGTGGCCCCGAAATCTCCCCAGAGCTGGGAGAAGGGGGCGGAGCGGCGGGGAGAGGCCCCTGGCTTGATTCCCCAGGGAGTCTCCAGATCCACCAGCGGGGAAGCCCCTTCTAGAGCAGGGTCTGCGCGTCGCCTCCCACAGCTTCTGTGGCGGCTCCTGGCCTCAGCCTTCGTGCGGGCGCCGGAGCCTCAGGCCAAAGGGAATTGCGCGGGCCTGGCAGCATCTCAGTAACACGTGTGGGCACCGAAATGTGAATTTCGTAAAACGTTCGTGCATTCTTCAAATATTATTCAAAAGATATTTTACAATATTTTTCTTTTGCTTTTTAAAAACCATTTAAAAATGTTCTTGGCTCATAAGCCATTTAAAAACAGGCAGCAGGCAGGAGTCATCCTGTGGGCCGTGGTTTACTAACCCCCCCATTCTAAAGCTGGGATAGGAAGTGAGCTTGCTGTCCCTTCCCCCTCAAATCAGTGGCCTTCCAACCCTCTCCTGAAGCTCAGCCTCGGGGGCTGGGCTTCAACGGGGCCGCCACCGGCCATTGGGTGACTTCATGTAAATTAAAAATGCATGTCCTTTCCTTTTGGCCCACTGGGGCACTGGGCTTGACAAGGAGAATAGATGTGGGCTGGGTGCCCTAGCGCAGTGAACAACCTATACCACTGTCCCTGGACATCTGCCTGCCACCCTGAAAGCTGCTCAACCTCCCCAAGTTGGCCGTGGTTGGGATGCCCAGTGACAGTGGAAATCAGGGTTCGTAAAACCGACTCTTTAATGGTCCTCGGCTTCACATTTAATTTCAACAATGGGCAGACAACTTTGAGCACCTGCTCTGTGCTGGGGAAGCACAGAGATGGGGAAGTCCCTGCCGCAGTCCTCCCAGAGAGCTTGGAGTCTGTGAGGATTTGGGGTGGAAGAGGTCACGGTAAGCAGAGGTAGGGGAGGCTCTGTGCGCAGGCTTCCTGGAGAAGGCGGGCTTTTCAGATAAGCCTTAAGAGGCTGGTGAGAGCAGTAAGTGGGAAGGAAAGAGAAGGTATTCCGGGCAGAGGGAGCAGCCTAACAAGGGCCCGGGATGCCGGAAGCGCAAGGCCTCTTCAGGGAACAGAGTCAACAAGGGTGGGTGGCGTGTGAAGAGCTGAGGCTACCGCCAATATCCCAGGCTGCGGGGCTGGGGCGGGCACTGGGGAGTTACTGAGGGTGCTGGAGAGAGGCAGGCAGCTTAAGGACTGGCCTCAGGAGCTGTAACCTGACCGCGCGTCCTGGGGCAGAGCAGGGAGAGAGTAGAGGGGGAGGCCCTTGGCTCATGCTGTGGACAGGCCTGTGGTCGAGCCTCTGCCAGAGCAGCGGGGAGCTTGGGCTCCAACATCCACAGACGGACGTGGGGGTGGCTCCCAGTCCTGCTGTGTGATCTCGGGGAAGTTACTTAAGTTCTCTGAGCCTCAGTTTCCTCAGCTGTAAAGTGGGGATACCCACTTGCCTCCCTGAGAGATCTTAACTGCAAGCAACAGAAAATCGCCGATTTAAAAAGCAGGAAAGGTAATTGTCCTGGAGGGAGGCCGGGAGGCCAGAGAAACCAGCTCAGGGCCATGCTGCCAGGAACGGAGCCCCCCAGACCTGGCCAGGGGTGACACAGTGGGAACCCCGCCGGCCCCAGGGCTGCTGGTGAGGAGCCCCTGGGCACAGCCACACCCTGGCACGGACACCCCCAAGATGGGTGTGGGCCTGGGGTGCAGCCTGCGGTTCCTTTGAAAGAGATCCCTTGTGTCCCTGCCTCTTTGCTTCCCCAGCCATTGAGCCAGTGGCTGTTCTGATGGGTGGGCACTGGGCCACAGGCCTATGACCCTCCCCAAATCTCAGAAGACGGGGAGGGACAGCCAGGTTGACCGAGGCTTCCGTCGAATGCTTGTGGGGCATTCAGCACAGGCCCATCAGTGGCCCGATCACTATTTAGAACAATGGGTCACGCCCGATGCAAGGCACTGGCCACCCAACATGACCAGGGTGTGTGTGACCCCACCCCTTACTGAGCTCTTTGCCAAGAGGGCGTCCACCGTCGTCCAGGGGATAGTCATGGGGGCCTGAAGCAGGGTATGGGGTCAGCCGTTTTCTGGGGTGCCCAGGCAGGCCCCCAGGTCTCTGCCCTTGGCACTTGGGGCGTGAGGAGAAGCAGGCCCTGTCCCCCCCAGTTCTCACCAAGGAGCGTGGTGCGATTTTTGGTGCATTGATGGCCAGGCAGAGGGGAGAGGGAAGCTCCCCCAGGGGAAGGCATGGTGAGACATGGGGGTGCAGGCAGCCCACATCGGTTCTGAAAGGGGTCGGCTTTCCCAAGCACGGGGAGAGACAGGGGAGGCCTGAGTGAGGCAGGTGGGCGGCGGGGGGGTGGGCCAGGCGAGTGCATTCAGAGGGCAGAGCCGGCTTGAGAGCTGCTGAGAATCCCCCAAAGACCCGGGGACAGGCATACCTGCAAACATCTCTTCAAGCTCCACAGGAGAGCATTTAAATGTACTGGATCCGTGTCTGGGGGCTAAAAGCTTTTTTGTTTTCCTAACTCAGAACATCTGAGTTATGGCATTTGCCTCTGGGAACCCCTCGGCAGGCAGAACTGCGCCAACGTAGCAGTCGAAGCCCAGAAATCAGAGTTAAGGGTCAGGACAGGCTTAAGGAAAGACTTGGGCACCAGCCCGGGCTCTGCATCTTCCCTGTGGGTGGACTTGAAGCCAGTCTCCCAGGAAGTCCGTCAGGATTTGGGCCGGGAGGACGGTAATACCCGGGGCCCGGGCTTCTGGGACCGTTACAGGGGAGACGATGAGGAATGCCAGCAGCCCCCTCCCGGCCCCCCAACCCTCCCGCTCAGACACCTGGATCAGGGGCTGTGGAAGGCAGGCCGCTCTCGGCTGAGAAGTGTTTGCGAGGCCGATAAACGTTAATATCCATTTGGGCTTCCGTCAAAAGCAATCTTTGCCCAGATACCTCTGGGCATCTGTCAGGATCACCTCCCTGCCACACGGAATCTCTCGGAAACTCAATTGTTGTTTGGGAAGGAGCCCGCTGCCGCCTCTCTGAACCCTGGTACCATCCATCCTCGTTAGGCTCTATGCCTGAGCTGCCAGACCTCGAGTGCTGACACCGGGTGGCCCTCCCTGGTGGACAGGGCATCTGGGGCTGGACGCTGCAGCCAGAGCCTGCTTCCTGGCGAGACCAGACCGGGCAAGGAGGGGGTTCGGCAGCCCTGGCCACTTCACGGCTTATATACCAGGGCCTGGCATGCCTCCAACCCCTGGATTCTGGCTGAGCAGCCTCCCTCAGAGAAGGAAGAGATGTGTCCAAGGCCACCTAGCAAATGAGCAGCCCGCCTGGGGGCAGCGCCCAGACCTCCCAAGGCCCAGCCTCACGCGTGTGTGTGGAGCCGGGCATCACACGGTGGCCCTTAATCATCCAACCGCGGAGCACCAACCACAGGCCAGAGGATCCAACAGCAAGCTCCTGGCCTGGTGGGGAGCTGGCAGATGAGCTGACTTGTGTGAGGGCTATAGGGCTGGGGGCGATGGGGGAGCCCAGAGGAGAGCCCCTAACCTAGCCTGGGGCAGCCCAGGGAAGCCTCTGGACAGGGAGGTCCAAGCGCTGGGGGAAGAGGCAAGAACAGCATTCCAGGCAAAGGGAACAGACATGCAGAGGTCTGCAGGGACATGGCGGCGCCTGGTCTGGGTCCGCGTGGGCTCTGCTCTGCTGGCGTATGGAGCTTGAGGGGCCAGGGACGAGAGGAGGGAGGTGGGCAGAGGCTGGGTCGGGTGCGGTTGTGCAGGCATGTCAGGAGACAGGCTTTGTCCTCAGGGCTGATTGGGCTCCTACCGCCCTCAGGATTCCCCCCGGTGGGGAGTGACTCAGAGGCTTGGGCCAAGGGCATGGCGGCTGGTGGGGCAGTAGTCCGGGGAGTCTGGATTCTATGGGCCCTGAATTGTGGCTGCGGACAGTAGGAACCCTGCTGGGTGGGAAGAGGCCACATGTGGCTCCTTGGGGTGGGGAGGCCACAGAGGCGGGTGGGCACACGCCTCAAGGTGGCCTTTGGCCTTTTGGCTGATGTGGCCACTGGCCTTGGCTGAACCCAAGCCTCCTCTCCACACTCACCAAAGCCCACAGCGACCCGGGCCACACAGGGTCCTGCCGATTGTCAAGGCCACTCCTGAACTTGACGGGGGCACTCACCCCATCCGTGCCCCAGGAAAGGAGGAGGGAAGGCAGGAAGGAAGGACCGTGTCCTGCTGACCTGCGACTCTGGGGAGGGGCCTCCTTGGGGAGGGGCTCCTTGGGGAGGCCTCTCTGACCACCGGGGCCCACCCATCTTGCTCCGTCTTTGTACCAAAGGTGGGACCAAGCGGTTACCTGTCCGCCTGCTG